GAAAACAGTGCAATCAAAGCAATCGTCCTGCGGGAAAGCATTAGTACATCAATAATTGGCACAACTTACATGTACATTTAAAAAAACTCGACAGAACTCAGAGAAGACTAGACAGAACTTTATTGTGCCGTTGTTTATTGTCATTATTCAGTGCGTTGTACTTACAAAAAAGAAATCCCCCAATGGTTTCCTGAAAAAATATCGAGTTTTTAGTCAAATAAATTACAGAACATGGAAGTGAATTATATTATACGATTGGATGAATATACCAGTGAAGGACAGTCATGTTATAGCCTTGACTTAACATGAACAAACAAGATAAACAAACTTTCTCTCTTGAAAAAAATAAAAAAAATATTCTATATGTCGGTTTAGGACCAGAGAATATGTCAAAAGGATACTTTTCCATGAGATCTCACCTGCATGGTCTGCCGCCACGTGGAAGAGCGCCAAGCCAATGAGAGTAATTGTGGGAGCCACGGTAATAGGTCCAATGAAACGAAGCAAGAATCCAATCAAACCAGAAAAACCGATAAATATTTGGATAAAAGAAGATGTTAAAATAGCGCCTTGAACCTGAATACAAAAAAAAATCAGATGAAAAGAAATCAAAATCAAAATCACAAACGTATAAATGGCCAATGCCCTCAATATATGAAGGATATTTTGCCACTAAACTCTGAGGTACATAAAAGAAATATTTGCTTTGGATCTTACAATTTAGCTTGCACTCGATTTAATCGCGATATAGATGGAAGGCAGATCGTTCTCAGTAAGGGCAATTAGACTATGGAATGCTTTACCAGGATTCTTGAAGAAAATTGATAATTTGAATAGTTTTCAAAAGGCTCTGGCCGACCACTATACACCCTTTTAATAAGTCCCGAGGTTTTGTGTTCTCCGCACTTGACGTCAAATTTATTCTTTTGAATTCCTTTTTTGTATTGTAAAAATTTCAAAAGAATAAATTTGACGTCAAGTGCGCAGAACACAAAACCTCGGGACTTATTAAAAGGGTGTATAAGTCTAGTTTTACTGAAAGACCTAATTCGTCATTTCAATATATCTTAATTTTTTATATAAAATTAGTCCACTTTTAAGAAATTTGTGATCTGTGTTTTTGTACTGTATGATATTATTATTGTCCTATCATTATTTATATATTTTTTATTTATTAAGTATAATATAGAGGGCCGTAGGTTTGTCAGTTTTTAACTGTTATGCGTTACCATCTTGAAATAAAGTTGATTTATCTATCTATCTAAGGCATAAGAAATTATGATATTACAGGAGTGAATTGGTGAGAGGTCTCTACTGTAAACGCTAGCTGTAAATTGTATTTRCGCTMTAAATTACCTCTCTCATTCTTATTTTCCAGATCTCGCCATCATCATGYGGAGTTGAGCTGACATTATTGGTGGAGTTAGTAATTCCTACACGAAGGAAAATAGCGAAAACTTTATCATTGAAAGAGAAACGCGTGAATATTTGAATAAGCACACGGCAAACAAAACGCTAAAAAAACAGAGACCGCCTACCTGAAACCGGACATTGGAACTTTGGAAGAGAAAGAATCGCAAAAGTGGGAGCCATGAACGCAAACGTTCCACCTTGCAATATAGGCAATCTGAACATGAAACAAATGTAAAATATAAGACGAGAGTGCCGAAACGTTCATAAATACAAAGATACAAGGTGATATTCTGTCACATATTTATCCACTGGTAAAAAGTCGCATAGATTGTCTTTTAAGTTACAAAAAAATGACAGAATATACTGAACAAAAACAGACTCAATAAATCACATCCCAGCTTT